ATGGTTTCTGTTGTTCCCAACCTCAGGGGGTGTGTGGTTGTGTGTCCATCATTGCAATGGGTTCCCTCTTCCTCCTCTCCACTTCCCACCTTCCCCCTGCCCTACTGGCGTCACTACTCCCATTTCTGTTCCCAGGGGTTTATCTGACCTGGATTCCGTGTGTGTTGGGTTCTTATTTGTCCTGTGTACTTGCTCTGGTCTAGCCAGAAGTCAAAGGCAAGACTGGGGTCAGGATAGTGGGGGGTGAGGAAACCTCTAGGAACCAGGGGAATACTGTGTGTTTCATTGGTGCTATACTGGGCCCTCGATGACTCATCCCTTCTTGTGACCCTTCTGTGAGAGAGTGTCCTACTGTCTACAAATGGGTTCTGGGCCTCTGCTCTGCCCATCCCGCCACCCACTCCCATTCTCAACAATATGGGTTTTTTGGTTTGTTTTGAGTCTTCTGGTGCCTGTTACCTGATCCTGTCAACACCTCATAATTGCACAGGCTGGTGTGCTTCTTTCATGTGGGCTTGTTGCTTCTCAGCTAGATGGCCACTTGTTTGCCTTCAAGACTTTAAGACCCCAGATGCTATATCTTTTGATAGCCAGGCACCATCCACTTTCTTTACCACATTTGCTTATGCACCCATTTTGTCTTTAGTGATTGTGCCAAGAGGGTGAGCATCTCAGAATGCCAGGTTAGAGCAAAGTGTTCTTGCAATAAGGGAGGGCTAGAGCAGAGGCCCAAAAGTCCGTCCACTACCTCAGTGTATTGCCATATAAATATATGTATATAGGCTAATATCTTTTTATGAATTAATGTATTTACATATGTACACGCCTATGCTTATACCTCTATCCATAGCTTTGCTTCCTAGATCTTTCCTGTTTTCTTTTCCCTTCCTCCTACCCCATCATCACGCTCACCCTTCTTCTGCCTCTTAGTAGTTCCTCTCAGCTAGATTGCTGTTGCTCCAACACCCCTATGATCTCTATGTCCTTGTTGATTTTAATTCCCTAGTTGTTCCCCCTGTCTATGGTGTTGTTTGCTCACCGCTCCCTTGACTCCACCCTGCCCCCATAAAGCCCCGCCCCCCCCCCCGTACCGACAGTCCAGATGCTTTCTCCTCAAGTTGCTTCCCATGCCTATCTTACATGGGTAGGCAAACCAACAATAACAGAGACAAAACAAAAAGAAAACAAAAGACTGAATAAAAAGAGACTAAATGAATAAATAGCAAACATACAAAAACAAAACGAAAAGGCATACATAGGTCCAGGTCTGTCCACTTTTAATCTCCCCACCGGTCCTGGGGGGTTCCGGGAACTGGCCCATACTACACATAAAAAGCCTCTCTCCTTCTGGGGTGACACCTTTGTTGGTGTCAGGACAGGCTCAAGGTCACTGTTCAGTTCCCATCCTGTCTGCCTCCCCAATGGTGCACACAGTGGACACTCAGCTACTTACCTGCAGGCTGGCAGTTCAAACCCACCAGGGAAGGTCTGTTGATTGGCTTCCATAACGATTACAGGCAAGAAAATCCCTGGGAGCAGTTCTACTCTGCAGTGTGGGGCCTAACGATTGGAAGTGACTCAATGGCACCACGGCATTTGGTTTAATGAAGGCCTTGTCTTTCTTCAGAGGTTCTGGAGACCGTGCCTTCCACGGGTCAGAGCACTCGGCTCTCAGAGTCTCCCACAGGACAGAGCACTGACGGAAAACCATTTGGTTTTGGTGACCTCCTACATTCCCGCCAGCCTGGACACAGATGGACGGGAGCTCCCAACAGAGAATCAGACACCGGTAGCTGCCATCGACTCGTGAGGGTCAGAATAGAACCCCTGTGGGGTCCCAGTGGCTGGTGTCTTAGAAGCACATCACCTGGCCTTTCTTCCTAGGTGCCATTAGGTGGATTAAAACGGTCAACCTTTTAGTTAGCAGCTGAGTGTGCCTACCATTTACACCGCTCAAGGACTCCAGCCAGCCCACTGCCATTGATTGCAGGCACCCTATTGGGCAGAGTATAATTAACTGCCCCTGTGGGTTCCAAGACAGTAAATCTTTATGAGAACAGAAAGCCTCATCTTTGTCCCACACAGTGGCTGGTAGTTTCATACTGATGACCTTGCAGTTAGTAGCACAGCTCGTAAACCACTCTCCCACAAGCACTTTGTAACACCATTGAATAAAGAGGACATCGAGACTGTTCTTGGAAGCCAGAGCCATGACACCCAAACACACAAAGTGAGGGACAGCCTAGTGGGTTCAAACCTTTATATGGTTTCTAGCACACAATTAAGTCTGTCATCACTAACTTGCTATCCAACTAATAACGTTCCGGGCTTCAGATCTGGGTTCGACCCTTATCGGAAACCACTTTCAGTAAGTAGGACATGTGAGAACCCAACTAGAAAGATGGCAGGGAGGATCTGCAGGCCAAACGACTCTGGCCTGTAATGCTAGCTGAGCCTTTCTTACTCCTCACAAGGTCCTGGGCAAGCGGGTTAGCCTCTCCAAGCCTCAAGTTCCTCCTGGCAAAATGGGAACGCAATCCTCCCAGACCTCTCCACCAACACTGAATGCTCCCTAGTCCCAGGCAAGGCCCACAGTCTCCATTACAAGAACATACATGAAGCTTTGAAAAAGTTCACGGAGAAATGTCACGACCTGTCGATTTCATGAACGTTTCAAGAACTTTCTCATATTTTGAAGTCTCATGTGATGGGATGACACAAGTGGGGTTCAAAAGGCCACCGGTGAGTGTGCTGGGAGTCACGATGGGGCACTCCATACTACACTGCCCCACAGAATCACTACTTTCCTGAGTAGACCTCTTTTCTTCCCTCCATGCACTGTCTCGTGCCCTGGCGGCTGTTCAGCCAGCTGTGGTATTTTGGTATTAAACTGCTGGGCAATCGTACCTGCTGGATTCCCATGTAGGAACACGCACCACAATCCACAAAGGTGCATTCCGGCCTTTGAGAGGAATATTTGGCTATGCCCCTCAGCTTAAGCAGACAGGAGAAGACCCAGGATGAATGTCCTCATGCAGTGCACACTACCGACCTGGGCCAGCGATGCCAGCTGAAGCAGGCTGGCGGAGGGAGGCGGCTGTGAAGAAGGGTGAGAGCTACGCTAATCAATCCGTCCAGACCAGCTGCCCCCTGCAAAGCACCAACTGCTCTGCTGGGATGAACAGAGGCCACTCAGAGGGGGAGAAGACACTGCGAAGGTGTGGGGCCTCTCCCGTCATGGGGGCTTATCTCGCTCTCAGACGAGTTCACAGGGAAGGAGAATGATGGTCACAAACGCAGTGTGTTGGATGAATCCAAACATTCTGGTTCAGGTTAAAGGATCCCTCTGCTGCCAGGCACTCCCGATTCCACCCTGCCTCTACCACTCGATTCATGGGTTGGAGGCCCCACCACATGAGGGAGGCAGGCTAGCTTCCACTGGAGGGCCCCAACTCCCCACTCTCCCCAGTCTCCTCACCAACAGCCCTGTGACCTCCCTGGGCCCTCTGTCTAGAGTCCAGGGGTTCTCAACCATCCTAATGCTGCGACCCTTTGTTGTAGTGATCCCCAACTATAAAATTATTTTCATTGCTACTTCCGAAGTAATTTTGCTACTGTTGTGAAACAGGCGACCCCTGCAGAAAAGGTCGTTTGACCCCCACAGGTTGAGAATTGCTGGTCTACAGTCCTCATGAGCCGCCTCAGAGCCTCCCACTGTGACTGGCTACAGGGCAAGGGCTTCTACCTGGTCACCCTGCCTCAGCAAGTACAAGGCCCCAGTGAATGTCAGGGCTTCAGAACATCTGTGGGAGAATGTGGTGACCTTTTCATTGTTTTTCCACGAACTTTCTGAAGCCCCACATACAAACTCCCAATCAGGGAAGGGAGGCCTAGGGACCCGCCTCTGTAAAGACGACAGCCAAGAAAACCTTATGGGGCAGGCCTGCTCTGGCACACGCTGCCATGAGCCGGAACTTACTGGATGGCAAAGGGGCTTGCTCTTTATAAGACATAGATATAGCTTAAGTATGGTGTGGAAAATGCTTGCTGCGATTGATCTGAAATTCAAATTCAAATTTGACTGGGCATTCTGTATTTGAGCTGGCAGTCCCAAACCACTTAACTCTTGGTTGTTTTGGTTCTATCTATTAATTTTGGGGTTGCAGACTCCCGAAAGGTGAAGATTTCACCCATCGTACTCCTTAGTTCACTATTAATCTTGGGTTAAGTGCCTAGTATAAAACCATTTAGAGGAAGTTCTCTATTTTAAACATCTTTTTACAAATCAACGTATAGTGATATTTGTACAGTCAATTGGATACTGGAAGGATCCACTGTCAAATTATTTAAAGTATATTCCTTATTTTAACCCTCTCTGTAAAAAACCAACTTCAATACATTAAGCTAACAAGCAAGCAAACAAACCCATCTTTCTGGTAACTGTAGCCAGTTCCTTAGAATGCTGTTTCCTATTTGGGTGTCACCCTAGAGCAGCTGACAACTGTCGCCTAAATAAAATGTAACGATGCTTTCTTAACACACAGAAGACGACACTGGCTCCGTGTGCTGGGCCAAGCGGCCGTCATCACTCTGTGGGGATCCCTTCTCTACACCCCCACCCCCCAAAAAGCCAAAACAACAGCATAGCGTGCTCTAAGTGCAAAGAGCTGCTGCGGCGATGTCGGGACACAGCTGACCCTGTCTCAGCTCCAAGTTCATTATGGGCCAACACCTTCCTATGAAGCCCTTCTGGCCGTGACCTGGGGTGTGAAAGACACCAGCCACCTTGCTTGTTTGCATTAACATCACCGGGCACAGCTGTGTGCTGCAGGTTCTAACCCGGGACTAGAGGCTACTGAGAGCACCCTCGGACTAACCACACCACCACCAGGCAGACCCTCTGTTTCAGAAACAGGAGAGAAGGTGGACCCTGGCTGTGGTCAAAGCCCCCCCGCCCCCATCTCCACCCTCACACACCTTGGCAGGAAGTGGCCTCTTACCAGTGTGCGTGAGCATGTGCCTCTGCAGGGAGCTGGCCCAAGGGAAAACACGGGGGCAGTGGGGGCAGCTGATCTTCTGGAGGCAGTTGGCATAGGAGTTGCGCCTGGCCCTGAGCGCCCTGTCTTCTGGGGGGCTGGTCTGCTCCTCGTCACTAGGCCCGTGGGGGTCAGCAGGGGCGGCAGCTACTTCCTCTTGCCCATCGTCCTCGGCACTCTGCAGGAATGGGCTGAACTTGTTGGTATCTGTGGTGGCAAGCATCTTCTCGATGCTGGCGAACTCCCCACTCGAGTCCAGGTCCACGGTGCTGCTGCTGACCTTGGACCTGCTCTTCACGCCTTTCTTCCTGCCTCTCTTCTTGGACGCGCCAACTGGGCCCTGCTCAGTGGGAGAGGCAGCCTCGGGGCTGGTGGCTGTGGCAGGCGGGTCACCAGAGTTCTGTGGGCTTATCAAGTCAGTGGGGGTGGGGGTGGCTTTGGGCGTGGCACCCTCCCCAGTGTCGGGGCCTGAGGGACCACTGCCTGCACTGGCCGGCCCTGGCTCAGCCGCCTTGGTCTTCAGTAGAGTGGAGGCCGAGGACACAGAGGAGATGATCTGGGCAATGGAGGCCAGCGGGGGCAACTCCTCGGTCACAGAGGGCTTTGGCAAGAGCAGGGGTGGCTTGGGGCGCAAGGGCCGCAGCAGGGCTGAGCTGCTGATGAGGGCCGAGTTGCTAAGGAGGGTGGGGCAGGCCAGGAGGGGAGAGGAGTAGAAGGGGACAGTGAGCTGCACGGGGGCCTGTAGGGCCTGAGCATGGGGCTCCCTCGGTGGTGCCGTCGAGGTGGCCAGTGCAGGGGCTGCGGGCTTGTCCAAGCCCCCACTGGGCCCAAACACTCCCGGCAGAGTGGGGCCTGGGGGTGGGGCAGCCAGGGGCTGCTCGTCATCTTGGGGGTCCTGCTCAGGTTTCCTGGCCTCACTGGGGGCCTCCGTCTCCTTGTCTCCTCTTCTGGGGTTCTTGGGGACGGAGAGGTCAATGGGCTCCATGGAGCAGTCATAGGGGGCCAGGGGAGAGGTGCTCACAAAGGAGGCAGCGCTTTCCTGTTTCACGTGAACCAGGGCCAGGCCCTTCTGGGAGAAGTCCAGGGGCTCATTGAAGTCCACTGCGAAGCCGCTGGAGGGCTCCAGCTTGACTGAGACGTGGGGGCCTGGGCCCGCGTGCAGAAAGCCGTTCTGAGGCTCCAGGAAGGCTGCAATGGGCTTGCGGTCAGCGAAGGCACCGTAGCCGCCCTCCGCCACCAAGCTGGCGGCCTGGGCCGCGGGCCCTTCAGCAGGGTTCCCCTCGTCTGCAGCCAGCACGTAGTTTTCGATCTCGTGCTCGGGCACGTGCAGGTGCTGCTTGAGGATGTGGTGGATGCAGTTGCGCTTGGCCGCAAAGGCTGAGCTGCACTCCTTGCACTCAAACGGCTTGCGGCCCTTCTGGCAGCCGCCCAGGCCTCGGCCGCAATGGGTCCGCATGTGGATGCGCAGTGCCCGGGAGTGCTTGAGGTCTTCCCCGCACAGCCGGCACACGGTGTCTGGGGTGCAGAAGGCATCCACTATCTCAGCGGCGCTGCTGGTCACATACTCGATGTTTTTCTCGATGTCCTTGCGGGTGGCCTTCAGGTGCTTCTTGCGCAGATGCCGCTCGCAGTTGGCCTTGACGGTGAAGGGGTAGTGGCAGATCTTGCAGATGTAGGGCCGCTCCCCGCTGTGTGTGCGCAGGTGGCGGATGAGGGCGGCCTTGTCGGCAGCGATGTAGTCGCAGATGTTGCACTGGTAGGGCGAGATGCCCAGGTGGGAACGCACGTGGGCACGCAGCACCCCCGAGAAGGCGAACACCTGGTTGCAGAAGCGGCAGGGGTACAGGACTTTGCGCATGGCGGGTGCCTTCTTGCCGGCGGGCCCCGCCATGAGAGCCTTGAGGTCACCTTCTGTGATCTCCTGCTTGATCTTAGCCTCCATGTTCAGGGGCAGCAGTGCCTCGATGATGCTGTCTTGCTCCAGCTGCGTCTTCATCTCAGGTTGGCCAGCCAGCTCCACATGGGGCTGCAGGAAGAGCTGGGTGGTGGCACTGGGCTGGGCCCCAGACTTGGACTGAAGCAGGTGGGCATTGGAGGCAGCCTCCACGGAGCTCTTGAGCAGCTTGAGTGGGGGCGGAGGCAGGCTGGGGCTGATGCAGCCCGGAGACGCCTGCTGGGTGTTGACCAGGGGCGGGGGTGTGGAGGTGGTCACCACCGTGCGCGGTGCAACCAGGGGCTTTGGCTTTAGTGGGGGCATGTGCTTGAAGATGGCCTGCAGGGGCGTGGGTGGGGCCTTGGCGAGGGGCGGAAGACTGATCTGGGGGGGCGCGGAGGAGGCCATCTTCAGGATCTGCTGGATGTCGGCCAGCTCGATGGCCGACTCATTGGAGATGGGCTTGACCACAATACTGCTGTCAGGCTGGATGATGAAACCCTTCTGGAAGGGCTGTAGGGACAGATGCTTCATGCTCCCCTTGGTGGCTGGGAGGACGGTGAGCTGGCCTCCAAGGGAAGTGGCCTCAAAGGGGGACAGACTCAGCAGGCTGGCACAGGCAGGCTCCTGAGGTAGCTGGCACCTGAGTGTCTCGAGCTGGATTGCCCGGTTGTCATCCGGCAGCGGCTCCTCAGTGAGGGTGACCTTCATGTCTTTGGTGTGCTGCAGGCCCAACAAGGCCAGGAAGACTTTCTGATCAAGTGTGTCCCCGGCCAGGGGCGTGGCCTGAGCCTTCTCCCGCCCCACGTCCCCGGTGCTGTGGGTCTGCCGGTGCAGGGCAAGTGAGTGGGGCATGGGAAATGCTTTGTCGCAGGTCTCGCAGATGAAGCGGTGCTGCTCGCTGATGCACCGCCGCAGGTTCGCTTCACACCAGGCCTGCACCAGACCCCGGGATAAAGCAGAGCATTAAAAACCAGGAAACCATGGCCCTAGCCTCCAGTCTCTCTCCACAACGTATAGGGAGTGACCTCTCCTGACGTGCCACGCAAGGATGGAGGTAAGTAAAACCACACTGTATTTAATAAATCATATCTGCTCACTCCAGGCCAAGTCAGCCAGTCATAAAAGGTCACGTGATTCCCCCTTACATGAAGGCCGAGGGAAGTGTACAGAAACCAAGGTTTACCAGTGGACCCCAGGGGCAGGTTCGCTGGTAAATGAGGTGCTAGCGCTTAGGGAGCACTTCAGTTTCTGTGATGGGTGACAAAGAAACTTGGAAAACATATTGTGTGGCCAAAGTAATGCGTGCCACTAACTGTTCAATTGAAGACAACAAGGTAGAATGAGCAAGTTTTTCTACACGAGAGGCTTCAGAAAGTATGCAGTACCTTTCGAAGCCCCCCTCATGTATTTTTAACCAGTTTTAAAAGTCACATTTGTTTGATGAAGAACACCGATCCCAGGGGTAGCAATGAACCCGCTGAGTAAATATCCCATGATGGGAGAATTCGTTCTTTTTTTACACATGGGCATTACGCACAGCGACCCTAACTCATCACAGGAGTAGAGAAGTTTCACCTTTCTCTCCTCGAGAGACTGGTGGTTTCAAACCGCTGATGTTGTGTGATGAGCAGCCCGATGCCTAATTACAAGACCATCAGGGCTCGAATAACTTTACTACCGCTGCATCTCCATTTCAAAACAAGGTGAGGTGAAAAACAGCCTCAAAGTAGCTCAGGCAGTTACTTTATAAACGGAGAACAAATACATCACTTGCTTTAGGTAAATGATGATGATCTGAACCATTTTTAAGAGAAACTACAATATTGGGCACACCTGGCTGTACTGCATATATTAAGGTCCCTGGGTGGCACAAGTGGTTTATACTTGACTACTAACTGAAGGGTTGTTGGTTTGAAACCACCTAGCAGTGCCACGAAAGAAAATTCTGGCAAACTGCTTCCCTAAAGAGCACAAGGAAAGCCCTGCTGAGCAGCTCTACTTTAACACAGGGACCACCACAAATTGGGTTTGACTCGGTAGCAGTGGGCTTTTCTGTTTGTTGGGGTTTTTGAAAGCAAATGTCAAGATCTTAAGGAAAAGATTTAAACTGAACAAATTAAGACAGGGCTGGGATGGTGGTGATGAACAATTTTTAACCTACAACTAAATTCCCCAAGGATGTACAAAGGCATTGATGATCCACGCTCACACCCACATGGACATGAGGGCCAACAGAAAATAAAAGACTAGTTCTCCTCTCAATCCTATAATCAAATGACGAATGGAAGGGCTAGGTTGAAGTTTAGGAGAAAAACCAAAACTGAAAGGACATTTTAAAGAAAGGGCCGAGGAAGTTCAATGCAAGGATTCGGACTGGGGAGCATTCCAGGCCTCAGGATACCTGAGAAATCCGGGGAAACTTCCTGCAGGAGAAGTCAGTGAACCCCAAGTCGTGGAAGCCAGCAGGAATGAGAGGGTTGTTCTGTATGAATGGTCTTCCCATCGCATCTCTTGGGAGCTGTTTGTGGACGAGTGCGTTGTGGCGCAGCAAACCCCGGTGTGTTCGAAAGGTGACGCAGCAAATGTCACATCTGGGAGGCGAAGGAGAGAAGACAGATGCCACAGAGCTTTACTGTACCCTTCATTTCAATTGAGAAAATAGAAAAATAACAAGACACCAACACCAAAGAGCCAATGATCATTCCCTTACCCTCTCTCATCTACAGCTCAATGTATTTCCGTTGCTTTAAACATTCAAAAAAGTTTAAAAGGCATGAATACACTGACATCGATAGCATCAGATCAGCAGCTCCTTTACCCAAAGGCGATAAAATGGTCATTGTCCAACCAAATTAGGGGCAAGTGACAGTGCACATGTATGAGATTCCGGCACTACCACCACCCTGACAAAGGCAGAGGTGCTCTCACTGTCAAGTTCAGACTCTGCAGGTGCAATCCTGGCAGGCAGGCAGGCAGGCAGGCAGGCAGGCAGGCAGGCACTACTTCCATTTTACAGACAGAAACACAGAAGTTCAAAACTGTGAAGTAGAGTGGCTGGGGTCACACAGCCAGGCAGAAGCAGAAACAAGAGGCCAGGTCTGAAAGACTTCGTCTCCATACTTCGGCCACACCTACCATGAAGTTGGCTCTCTTCCTTGACACCCTCACAATGGCAGTTCCTAATTGCCTCAACTGTGTGTAAAAGGACCTAACAAGAACTGATGCTTTGAATTAGTGTTGGAAAATAATATAGAATATACAGTGGACTGCTGGAAGAAAAACAAATTCATCTTCAAGACAGAGCTGGAAGGCTCCTCGGGAGAGGGTTGGTGAGACTGTGTGTCATGCACTTTGGACTCGTCCTTGGAGGACACCCTGATTGGTAAAGGACAGGAACAGCCAGAAAGAGGAAGACTCACAATGAGGTCATAACTCAGGGACTATTGTGAGGACAAGTGTACATTTTGCACAAAGGATTGCTTCTGAGCTGGA